ATGACAATAACGCCACCATTAGCATGGCTCATAATCTGGTTCAACATGATTGTTCCAAGCATGTGGAGATTGACAAACTTGATTCCGGAAGATTTGTATTCCATTTGTTCCATCTATTGGACAACTTGCTAATATTCTCACAAAGAATCTTCCTCGCCCGTTGTATGTTGGTTCAACATGATTGTTCCAAGTATGTGGAGATTGACAAACTTGATTTCGGAAGATCTGTATTCCGTTTGTTCCATCTATTGGACAACTTGCTGATATTCTCACAAAGAATCTTCCTCGCCCGTTGTATGATTTCAAATTTAAGTTGAACATGACTGACATATATGCTTCAACTTGAGGGGGAATATTACGAGTTATTTCATTAGTGTTTATTTCTTTCCTTTCCAGATATTTCCTAATTTATGCATTTCCCAATTTATGTATCACCTACTTTATGGCTTTCCTTTTATCTCTAGGTAGTTATTAGAAATTAATTTAATCCAAGATATTTAGGTGTTATGTCTTTCCTATTTTATAACTCTTGTATCTTGTATTTATATCTTTTGATATCAATAAAATTATCCTACTAAATTCCAACAGAGATTATAGAGTGAAGTAGTCTGTGACTAGTTCTCTGCTGCAATCCACTAGTAATTTCAACCTAAGACCATGAAAGTGATCATCATTTTACTGATATTGCCCACACCTTAATGTTTCAAATGCATGTTCCAAAATAATTTTGGGGGCATTTCATTATTATTGGGTGTCAATTGATCATGCCTATTATTTTGAACAATATTACCCCGTTCTCTATAATATACTATAAACCTATTTTCCCAAGATTTTTATGACTTTAAAGTGTAATATAGCCAATTCAATTCAGCCAGTGCATGGAAAAAATCTCTCCTCGAGCTATTCAGTGCATCATTATGGGTTGCTCTCGTGCCCAAAAAAGATTATTGGAGTTATGGTCTTACAGAAAAACAATGTCATTATCGATGTTAACTTTTATGAGACCTATCCTTATTTTGCTCAGCTTTATCTCCTACCAAAAACTTGTTATTGAACCAAATACCAACTTTAGCATTGATGCTACTTCAAATCCGTTCCAATTTTATGCTCACGTACTTAATCATCTTCTCCTGAAACAACTCTCATCATCGCTTCAGCACTACAGCTGAGCATCCAACTATCACTGGGCCTCAGATCTGCATCTTTATATTGCTATCAACAAAAGAAAACGCCAATGCGCTAACCATCCACTACACTTTTTTATGCCTTTTGATGATCTCTCCGATTATGTTGATTTATGTTGCCTTTATTTACGCCAAGAAGTTTTATTTGGACAAGTAAAAACAAGATATCATCAACATAATGGGAGAGATGCTACATGTAAAACAAAGCAAATTAAAATTTGGTTGAATAATTTGGCTTCCTATTACATGGGCAATAATCTTTATCTATGATAATATGGAAACTATACATATTGAATACAATCTTAACTTGTAGATGTATGGTACTAGGAAAAAAGGTCATCATTTCCCATGTCTACGATGAAGAAAAATTAAAGCATTCAAGTGATTTAAATGGCCAGACAGGTTCTAGTAAGATGCACTGTGAAAAAAATCATAATGGCTATGGAGTAGGATATGAAATGAGAAGAAAAATGGCTGCTTATAAAAGTAAAGTTATCAAATCATAAATAGATTTCTACATTATTAAGAAGAAAAGTTAAAACTTCTTGCAAAGAATGTAATGTGATTCAAGAAAACAGCTTAATCACCAGTACAATGTACTAGCAACAGATGATTATCTTACGATTATTAAATGATGGTAAAAATAAATTATATTCTTAGGATAAGAAGATGCAACTTCAATAAGTATAAATTTGCTAATCTGTAAAGATTAGTTAGTAATAGTGCAACATTTGAAATCTTTTGTTGGAGCAAAATCTGAATTGAGGTAAGATAGCCAGTTCCATTCAAATGCATAAGAGGAAAGAGCGCTATTTTGCACACAAATTACTTATTTCGACTGAAAACAACTTTTGGATATGAAGTATGATAAATAACAGTTTTGAAAGAGGGCATCTGACAAAAATTATTCACATTTTTGAAACCATCTAAAGCGAATCAGCTCACTATTTTGAATTTATGGTTAGTTCCATCTAAATGCACACGGAAACCATCTAAAGCAAATCAGATCACTATTTTGAATTTATGGTTAGTTCCAACTAAATGCACACGAAAAAGTTAATTGCATTAGACTCACATTGCACAAGGCTCCCATACAATGTAGATGTCAAAACCAGTACATAAATAAGGTCTCAATACTTCAGAAGGCGAACATTCAAGTGACACATCCTCGGCAATCAGGCCCCCATTCTGAAAAGACAACAAAATGAAATAACACATTTAAACATAAAGTGAAGTCAACAATTGATTCAGGGATAACAACCATAGGCATTTCAAGCCAAACTGTTCCAAATTATAATTTTCTGTTATTTTCCATATAAAGCTTCTGGATTATTAAATGAGAAGATAACCATATTCTCGAATCTAATGTGCTATTAGTAACCGGAGAAAGAATAACAGTATGAAAGGTTTTGAATGTGCTCACTTCTGATAGGATCTTTTGTCGTTTTGATGGATGTTTGTCAGAACAATCGCAAGCACCACCATTTTGAAGAGGCAGATCCTTCTGAGATTCTAAGCAAGGGAATAACTGTCTATCTCTAGCAGCAGCATTTTCGATAGATACCATGGTAGCATGCCTCAAAGGATGCGATGAAAAGTTCCCTTGGCTTTTCTCTTTCTGGTTATCAGGTCTTACTTCACCCCATCGCCAAGGATAGATGCAAGAAACACTATTAAGACCACAAGGTAACAACTTTGACTTCGAGTCGTCAGGTATGCTCCCAAATGAATTTCCACTAGGATGAAACGAGGAAGTGGAAGACAATTGCTCACTGCCATTAACATAATTTGAAATGGTGTCAATTGTAGGAAGTCCAGAAAAAGTTTGGTCATTACCAGTTGCAATGATTTCCCCTGCCAAAGGATCAACTATAACAGCTGCATTTACCACCTGGCATAACAATCATTAATGCACAATTAAGATTTGTATAACTTGCCAAAAAAAAAAAGGAAAAAAATTACTGCTGATAATTATCTACCATACTACCATTGCATTTGTTTTACAAAAATAATTTGGAACTAAAAGAAGTGCAACAAGAATTGGATCAAAGTTGTTTGGGGAACTCGTAAAAAAATATTGTAAGCGCTATCATGAGTTCTGGTTCTTTCAAGGCTGCAATTTTCCCATGGCAAGTATAGCTTGATGTGTGCCAACTTCATCATCATCATTATCTCAGTTCTTTCGGAAGCTTTAGTGACATCAAAGTTATCCATGAAGAGTTTCAAGTAAGCTTCCGGGTTAAATTCTCAGAGGGCAAAAAAAGCAGTATATAAGACACTATCAAAAGATATCACCCTCATTTTACAAAGACTTTAGATCAAGGGGTCGAGGTTTCCCATAAGCACAAGGCCCTATAGTTAATTTCTCATCCCGATAACAGAAGAGCACTTTTAATTAAACCTAGTCATTAGGCATGTTAAGTAATCAAGATTATCATGTAGTAGCAATAGATTTAGGTTTTGAGATTATAACACCGTGAGCTTAAGAATGGATTATAAGGGAAATGATGACGAACATAATCAAGATCTCATGGTTCTGTCTTTTTTGGTTGTCATAATCCCCGATAGAAGATGGTCGACCCAACTTAATAAAATAATCATTGTAAGCAACCATGAGTTGCTTTGATCAAATGGAATCTTGCGGGACCTGGTTGGATGTTCTTCTAAGGGGATTGATTTAAGTCATCTTTGCTAACAAAGAGATTTATTCCCTATAATGTACACCATAAAATTCACAGCTCAAATAAACAAAATTAGTGAGGAACATTAATGGGCATAGCCATGAACGTAATATAGTGGCTTTTAAATGGCCAAACTACCCGGCAAAAAGAAGTCATAACCGCCTCGTTGTGGAGCCGACTAGTCAAATAATGTGGACAAATGACACAGACCACATCCTTACAGACATGAGATCATTTTGAGTATAAATATAATAATATAATTGATATAACATTTTATTATTTATGAGCTTAACTTATTCTCAATTTTAACACCCGATAAACTCTTACTGAAGGTGAATGATGTTTAATTTTATCTATTGGGTGATAGATTTTAGATGAACATTTTAAATTGTAGAATTTAATAATTTGATTTTGAAGATAAAACCCTCCGATTAAAATTCATTTTCAACACAACTATCATCAGAGATGGATTTTAAAGTAATTAAAATTATTGTATTGTCATTCACTTAAACATTTTATTAAAATATCATCAAAGACATTAGCCTTATTGACTTCAGTTCTTATAGGAGGAGGATCGTATTAACTTAATGGGGGCTCAGTCTTGTCAACTCAGATTCCTATCAGAAGGATGATAAGAATATTCATATGAAATTTCAGACTTGTCAACTTCATTCCTTGTCAAGGGTGGGATCGGACTAGCCAAATGAAACTTACAGTCTTACCCTATAGACAAGATAATCCACATAAGAGTATGATATGTATTCAATTTTAGTTTTTTTTTTTTAAGAGATTTTGTAAAATTTAAATACTTGCACATTTATTGGACTGAAGACAATTTTGAGTTAATTTCAATTTAAACTCACACAATATTCTAAAACATAATATTTAGTATTTGACATATTGGGTGGACCACATGCGGGTTATAGTTCTAATAATGTCACATATCTGAGAACATTCATAATGCACATGAATGAATTACTGTGAATTTGTAAGATGCGTTTGCACACATATCGGGACATTTTGAGAGTTATCAATGATGTATGCACCTTAAAAAAATTTTTAATTTATCCATTTGAACACTTTATTGGATCTTGCACGAATTTCAAGGTTGAATATCTTAGCTAGTAAATGATATAAAAATTTATAAAGGTCCCAAAATCATTTAGAATTTAAATGCTTGCATGAATATTTTGTTCATTGAAAGATATGCAGGTCTTCATTTTGAATTTGTCAAACCTCATCTTTTGCCCACTTGTGCGAATATTGCAAATCCAATGGCTATTTGTTGTATAAGTATATGTCAAGCACACAATGCAATGATACTTTTTATCTTTTAGTGGTTAATTTAATATGATGTGACCCGCGAGTGGTGTTATCTTCATTATACGATATTTAAGTTCATTTGCTTTGAGGTTGGAAGGCTACTTAGTGTGCAATTTGAGTGAGAGGATTTATCAAATATACTCAACGAGTTTTCAATTTCTCTTAATTATTTTAAAGTTTCAATTCAAGCATAATTTAATGTTCAACTTTTGCTTCCTTAATTTAGCCATTTTTTTATTTATTTAGGTTCTCAAAGATTCAATGTAGATTTTGTTAAAATTATGTTTTAGTCCTATTTAGGTTCTTCTAGGTTTTTGTCAGTTAAAAATTTGATGGCCTACCTACATCATCACAGGGTCTTCAACTTATCACACTCGAAAGAAACTTATCACACTCGAAAGAAAAACATGCATAGACTTTCGACTGCCCATATGAGAGAAGCATGAATTTCCTTATCATGTTGGAACAACGCACACGAGTACTTAATTTGTAGATTTTCCTTGACATGTTAGAATAGCGTGCACAGGTACGCCGCAGTGGAACAACACACACAGAGTGTTATAGGCAAATTCTATCGCATTGAAACATGCATGGGCAAGATTGTATTCGAGAATTTATACCTTAGTGCACGAGGAGACAATGAAGTTGAGGCCCAAATTTCAAGGCAAACAAAGTAAGAGAAGGGGAGAGATTTTCTTTCTCGCTCTTTGCTTTTTATTTTTATAGAGAGAGAAAGTGAGAGGGTCGTGGGTTATAGAGGAAAGAATTGAGCAAGAGAGAGTCGAAGATTGGGAGCTCTTGGCCCTTGGGTAAATAGAAAAAGAAAGGTTTCTCACTATGGTTAGACATAGATACAAGTGAGAGTAGAGGTGGAGATGGCTTCTTTTTTATCAAGTGAGAGAAAATTCTCTTTATTAGAGGGAGAAAGCGCGAGACGGAATGCAACTATAAGAGCTTTTGGGAGATGGGTTGTTATATGACAGCGCGGAAGTAAGAGGAGACGGCGATGAGGACCTATGACGTGAGTTTGATGTTGTGTGCCGAAGGAAAATGAGAAGCGGAACTCGGGGTCCTCTCCCACCCCCTTTTTTAGTTGGGTTAACAGTAGTAGGTGAGCTTTAGGATCATCAACCTATGTAAGGTATTGAGAGGAAGAGAGTGGTTGAGTGGAGATCTTGCGGGAAAGAGAATGGAGAGGGATGAGCTATAGAGGGTTGAGACGAAGGTGAAGCGTGTCGTGCAAGAGAGGTATGGGATGTGTGATGCTAGATATGAGATTGAGCAGCAAGTTGATCTAAGCATGGATTACAGGTAGGAACAAGTGCTGGTGGTTATCCTTTAATCTCCTAAATTGGGCGAATTCAATTGATTCAATAAACTATGTTGATATCGTTTCGTAGGTCCTTGTATCCTAATAGGTTGCCGCACATTGGGGTATTGTGACCCACCATCTAACTTGTGGCCTGATTGGAGTTTGAAGCATGGGATGACCCAATTAAAATGACGTTTTTTATTCTTGATATTATATTTTATGGACTTTATAACACATGATCCATTTGATCGAAAGTATTCTTAGGTATCTCTCAAGACGTAAGTAATGAAGTAGATTATTTATTATTGGAAGTTAGCATATACACGAGACAGAGAAAATTAATTCTTTGATTATTTGTGGGGAATATTTATAGGCCTTCTTTAGGGAAAACGAGTTAGTCAGATCCGCTTTGAGCTTTCGTCTCCTACATATTTTATAAGTACCGCCATACGGATATCCCGCACATCTTTTTTTCTGTTGTGTTCCTACTGTTCTATCTAAATCTCATATCTCTCACTCTTTCTTACATTTATTTTGTCATTATCTTGAAGTGATAAAATAGATTTAATGAAGAAATTATTTGAGAAGGGGTAATGTAGAGGGATATATATGAGCATTCCCAAAAATGTAGCAAATAAAAGCTGACGGCTCTGCCACGGATACTACTTTCTTTTTATTTTAAGAATCTCGTTTTTATTTTATCGTCTTATATTCATGTTGATACCATTATTCAACAAATTTGATTTATAAAATTACAATCTTAAATTCGATCTGTTATTTTTTTGGTGCTTTGGTTGCAATGGTTAATAGACTGATGCTATTTTATCCATTTTGTGCCATTAGCATTATTATCACTATAATCACTGCATGTGGTCGGTGTTGTTGAATATTTCTTTGAATATATTTATTATGATAGAACCTGATAGTATTATCTTTTGTTTGTAGGATATGACTGTACTGAAAGTTATTACAGTTGAGTTTGCAGAAGAATTTCCTTTCACCAACCCCCACTATTTTCCATGTTGAAGTTATGATTACTTTCAGTCGCATCTACCATCCTACTTGAATTATCCTAAGAAAATTCCAAATTTATCGAGGCATTGGCTATGTGCTCTCCTTAGAGAAAGGGGAGCCGAGCATACAGCACAAACACTCTTTGTCATGACCACTTATGTTTTTCCTTCCCTCATAAAGGGAGTAATGTTAGACAGCAAGCCATTACTATGCCCTCCTATTTTTACTAGACTATATGGTTTTTGAGTATGCCCTCCTATTTTTACTAGACTATATGGTTTTTCCTTGCATATTCTCTCAAGTGTTTGTTCCTATAAGAGGGGCACTAGCTCCTTCCATTCATAATGACATTACAGCTAATCGTTCTATCGTACCCTCTATCAACACGTCTGATGTTTCAATTACCTTTGCTTCGGGTCATTCTGATATTCTTTTGTTGTCAATCTAGGCAGGAGAGCCCAAAGAACTAGAAATAGGCTACTAAGGATTTGACAGGAGCAACAACAATCACAGGTTTCTTTACCCGCATTGCCTTAGGAGGAGGTTCAAATTCTTTTGGCC